GGGGGGGGGGGAGCACCGAGTGCGACACCAGCTTGAGCACGCTCACGTCCTTTGCGAGGCACATCGACACGCCCGGGATGTTTTGCGCCGCGAGCCTCGCCGCCGCCTGCGGACAGCCTCGGACAGGTCTCGGACAGGTCTCGGACGTGTCTCGGACGTGTCGTGGACATGTCCCGCGCCGCGAGCCTCGCCGCTCGCTCGGCTCCCACGCCCCAGAGGCGGAACGACACCATCCCATCTCTCCCCACATCTCGAGGCCCAAGAGGCGGAACTTCTCCCCGCACCTCCCCACACCTCCCCACACCTCCCCACACCATCCCCATCTGCCCCCCCCCTCTCGCCTGCGACTCGTCGCTCCGGTCGTCACCTGCGCAGCGGTCGTCACCAGGCGCGGCGGGAGGGCGGGTGAGTGGCGAGGACGGCCCGGCCCCGAGGTGCCCGCGACCTGTCTTGGGATGCTCCTCGTGGCTGATCTCGGCTGATCTCGGCGGATCTCGGCGGATCTCGGGTGATCTCGGCGCGGCCTCCAACGAGCAGCACTTTGTGCCCTCCGCCCGCGCGCGTGTGCGGGAGCGAGAGGCCGAGCCGCTGCAGCCGCTCGAGCAGCGCCGACGTCTTCGGCTCGTCGAGCGCCAGCCGCCCCACCAGCAGCAGCGCGCTGCGGCGCAACTTGTCCGACAGCGCGACCTTTGTCCCCGCGTCGACCACGCGCCGCGGCAGCGACATCGCAAAGTCGCGCCGCTGCCGCGGGAAGGCGACGCCGCCGCCGCGCCATTGCGGCGCGCGGATGGAGCCCTGGCGCGACTTGCCCGTCCCCTTCTGCGGCCGCGGCTTGCGACCGCCGCCACGCACCTCGTGCCGTGACTTGCCGGCGCGGTGCACCTGCTTAAGCGCCGCGTGCTGCGCGACGACGCAGCGGTGGACGAGGTCGGGCCGCAGCGGGAGGTCCCAGACGTCGGAGCGGAGCAGCGCGATCCCCGCGCGTGCGTCGGCCTGCCCCGCCGCCGCCTCCCAGTCGCTCACCCACGCCTGCACGTGTGGCTCGGCGGTCGATGGCACGAGTGGAGCGAGCCGCGGCTCAAACGCGTCGTCCCGCCGCGCGTTGCGCTGCTGAAAGGGGCGGCGCACCGCCCACGACCGCGCGCTCGACGCGAGGCCGCGAAGTAGCCGCCGGGGGCAGGTTTGAGCGACATGGCGCACATATGCCATTCTTCCAGATTTTCTTTATTTTTCAGTGTATGTAGCTCTTACGAACGTACCCGAGGGTCAAAGGTTTTTTTTGATTTTTTCAAGTGTACGTGCGAAAAAAAATTTTTTGGGCCGACGCATGCTCCCGCCAGCCTACAAGCCGCGGCGATGTCGCCCGGCGCTGGTGCCGGTGCTCATCGCCCCGTTGCTGCTCGCGCTGGTCGCATTCAACGCCTTCACCGTGGCCTCAGCCCGGGCACGCCAGCCACACGAGCAGCCTCGTCGGCAGCACGAGCCCGCGGTACCAGCGCGGTCGATGCCAGCGACGCGGTCTCCGCCAGCTGTGCAGATGCCGGCACCAGCTGCACCTGCGCCAGCGCCAGCCGCACCTGTGCCGGCGGCTCAGTCGGGACCGCCGCCGCCGCCTGCGGAGAGAATCCACATCGGAGTGTCGACGGACGACAAGCAGGACGCGGCGCTCGTTGCGCTGATCAACTCGACGCTCACGCACAACCCGGGCGCCGACATCGTCTTCCACGTCCTCGCACCGCAGCAGGCGCACGGGCGACTGAGCCACCTGGACGAGCTCTTTCCCGCCGCGACCTTCACGCTGGCCACGCTGGCGCCCTCCGGCGCCGAGGCAAAGATACGGTCGCGCCTGCGCGCGCTGCGCGGGCGAGAGGCGTGCGACGGCTGCGGCGGCTCGGAGGACGCCGACCGCTCACCCGACGACGAGAGCGAGTACCAGCGCTGGGCGGTCGCGTATCTGCCGATTCTCTTCCCGCGGCAGCGCCGTCTCCTCTGGCTCCACACTGACGCGCTGGTCCAGGCCTGCCTCCACGCCCGCCTCCACGCCTGCCTCCACCCTGCCTCCACCCTGCGCCGCTGCCGCCAGCGTATATGCGCCGCTGCGCCGCCACCCCGCCTCCCCGCCCCCATGCTGCAGGCGGACCTGACACCTTTGTGGCGCACGCCGCTCGCCGGCAAGCCAGTGGCGGCGGTCGAGGACTGCTCGCGGCCGCTGGAGGGGCTCGTCAACCAGTCGCTGCTCGTGCAGCTCGCCGCCCCGTCCCAGGCGCTCGACATTCTCTGAGACACCACCGGCTGTTCTTATGCAGATCGCACGCGAGATGCACATGCACATCCGCCCCAACCAGGCGCTGTAGACTCTCTGTATTGATCACACACCATTCGTTGTCATGCGTATCGCGCGCGCGCACTCGCTCGCGACGTATGCACACACGCCCCCTCCCAGGCGCCCTCCGGCTGCTCCATCGACCTCGGCGTCCTCGTGGTAGACTTGCGTCAGTGGCAGGCCGCCTCCACTCTCCCGCCTCCTCCGCAGCCCCACCACCGCCTCTCTACCACCACACCCTCCTCGCCAGAGGACGGCCCCACGCAACGGACGCCCCCACCCCACCACCACCACACAGGCCCTGGACGTCTCCGCTCGCGTCGACTATTGGGCCACCATCCACGCGCGCACGCCCGACGCAATCGGCCGGATCTTTGCGCAGCCGCTCGACCCTCGCGCCGCCCTATCGACGGCGGTGCGGGGCGCGTACGTGCGGCTGGCGCCGCGGTGGAATGTGTTTGGCCTCGGCCGCCGCGCGTACACCCCGCCGGAGCGCGACTATTGGGTGGCGGAGTGGCGACGCGCGGGGCTCGCTGACCCGTTCGGCGGTGCACCCTCGCCGGTTCGCGCGCTCGCGGCGCCGCGGGGCGGCGAGGGCGAGGGGCGCATCCTCCACTTCTCGGGAGGCGACAAGCCGTGGGCCGGGAACGGCAGCGGCGCGCTCTGCCCCTCCCCCACCAGCCGCACTGGGCTGAGCAGCTGCGCCGCCGAGTGGCCGAGAGCCACGGCGCTGCCGCGGAAGAAGAGAAGGGCGCCGAGTGAAAAGGCGAGGCGAAGCAACCAGGCGCCGCCGCCGCCGCCGCTGCCACCGCCGCCGCTAGAGCTGCGCAGGGCTAGCGGGGCCAGGCGAGGCGCACCCGCTTCCGCCAAGCGAGCGGGAGGCAGCCCGGCGACGGCGACGGCGCAGGCTGCTGGGAAGGGCGCTCTTTCGTCGAAGGACGCTGCGCTGAGAGAGCTGATAGACCGCGAGTTTGAGTGAAAAAGGGGGGCGTGAGAATCTTGGTTCTCCGGGGTTGTGCGCACAGAGAGGGGAGGATCTCTCCCTCTCAAAAACAAAAATCGTATTTTTGACAACACACGCCTCACGCGCCTGCGCCGCTCTGAGAGGTGCGTGGTGGCCACACTCTCACTGTGCACCCTGTCCCTGACGATACTTTATAGAGTGCGGGCGTGCGGCGTGCGGGCGGACCATGCATCACAGATCACAGATCACACACAGCGTCAGCGACGCTCACAACCTCCTTCTCGTGAACCGCCACAGCGGGGCGACCCAGGCACGGGGACGGCGGATGACGGCGGACGCGCTTGGGCTTGCCGCTTCCGAATCGCCGCGGCCCGCGCATCTGACGCTCGCACTGTGAAACTGTTATCTGTTATACGCAACCAAGCGCCACGGCTACTCTGTACAGGGGCACCCCCCCCACGATCTCGATCTTCAAAACGTACAAGAGAGTCGCACCTCCAGCGGTCCGGCGGTGTCGCAGAACCCCAGAGGGACACACATCCGCGGGCATATTCGCGGATCGCGCACGCACGGGGGTCGCATGCATGTGCGCAGAGCGATTATTCGCGCGGCGATGTGTGGGGGGCACTAGTATGATACACTGTGCGCAAGCCTGCGCTCTCGTCACAACCTCGTCATCGCCGGCGCTTGTGTTGACGTCGCTTGCTATGCGATGTTTTGCACAATGCCGCCGTTAGAAGAGCGCCTCGATCGCCTTGTTGGCCTTGGAGATTTCGCGATGCGTGGACTCCTTGGCGCTGTTCCATGCATAAAACGCGCGCACCGCCATGTCGTCGAAGTTCACTCGGCCCATGTCCTCCGACACATACTGCGAGGTGAGGTGCAAGCCGAAAAGACCGAGCAAATCGACACCGCTGTTGGGTCAGGTCAAAGGCGTGTCAGTTTAGGATGGTTGGGGGGGGGGGGGAGGGAGGGGGGGTCGGGATCGTGGGTGCGATCACAATCTAGGGTTTCCTGGCAGTGCGGATGCCCCACTCGCGCCACGTATGGTCAGGCATGAGCGGCCTGGTCTCGCCCACCGCCGCCACGACATCGTCAGATCCTGCCCGCAGAACTCGAAAGTCTGTCAGGGGATGCTCCTTCGCCGACTTGCTCTTCCCGCCCCACCACCAGGGCGACGCGATGACGCGAAGCTCAAGCATGGGCTCCAGCACCACCTCACCGTCAAACGGCCACGGGCGCCGCACCCACCGCGAAAAGACGAAGCGCTTGGGATGGGGCCTGCCCTTGTCATCGCGCCAGGACTGGAAGACGCCGTACTGATAGAGCGGCGTACCGTCTGGTGCTGGCGGCACGGGCGGCCCGAATGCCAGTTCCGACGAGGTTGCAGCTAGCTCAAGGGAGACTCCTACCTCCCCTTCGCGCCAATAGGCGAGAGCCTGCCCATCGGTGTGGTTGCCCAGGTAAAACGCGTAGCCCCAGGGATGGAAGACGGCTGACAGCCTCTGGCGTGCTGTGCACAGAGCCGCGGGCGCCTCCGCTCCCTTCTCTCCGCGGTATTGCGCACGGAGCCGAGAGCGGCTCTGCGGCTCGGTGGCGGCGAAGTCATGGCATTCCACCGCGGGAAGGGTATCCTTGCCTCCGAGCGCCACCTCCTCGATAAGGGGGAGGGTCACGGAAAGCCCTTTCAGGGCCGTGATGGTTTCCTTTGTGTCCCAGCCCCTGTGGCGAGGGGTGGGGTGCGGGTTGGCTTTGCGCGGCCGTGGCGCGATTGCGGCGAGGAGGGGCACGCGCACCACAGGTAGGTTCCGGCCCGCGTTGTGCCGGCCAGCGCCTCGGTCACGCCTCCATCGACAGAGGCCAAGTAGTCCGTGTCGATCATCTTAGCCCCGATCGAATTATCATACGGCGATATGTCGACGAAGCGGTCCTCGCCAAACGGCGCATCTACCCCGACCTCCGCGAGGCGTTTTTGGTCGCGCAGCGCCGCCTCGCGACGCTCTTCATAGGGTGACGAGGTGCCGATCGTTCGCAGCAGGGAGAGGATGACGGGAGAGCCGCGCAAGCGCGACTGGACCTCGCTAGCGAGACCTTTGAACGGCTTTTTGCCGCCCATCAAAGGGATGGACGACCTGAAAAGGGAGGGGGCGTGCGTAGGTGGTGGCGTGGCGGTGTGGCGGAGAGGGGAGGGGGGGTGGACGACCAGTCCACTTCGACCGAAGGCCCCAGGAAGCGCAGCATCGGGCTGACTCGACCCTCGCAGACCATCGAGGCGGCGTTTTCGCGCACCAACGGCTTCATGATGTTGCTGATGACGGCTTGCACCACCGCAGGCTCAGTGGTGCCTTTGAAAGCACCTGCCATGTCAACGTGGAAGGAGTCGATGCCGAAGTCGCCGTCGCAGATGTCGATGGCTTTGCCGGCGAGATAGCGCAGGTTCGCAAAGATGGTCATGCTGCCAGAGAGAGCGATTGTCGTTCGCCCCTCGAAGAGCGTCACGCCAGCAAGTCCGCGGACTTGAAAGTTGGCTTCCGCGACGGCGGAAATGTCGTCGATCGCGATCTGCACGCCGTCAGGCGGCTTGGAAAGGTCGCCGATCGTGCGCCAGAAGGTGCCCTGGGTCTTGTGCCACCTGAGGAGAGCAATACGTGAGGCAGTTAGGAGGGGGAGGAGAAGTGCAGCTGGCGGGAGGAGTAGCTCTCACTCGTAGTCGTCCCAGCAGAGTCCTCCGCGCACCTTGACGCTGCTGATAGACGGGATGGTCATGTTCCAGACTCTGGTCTCTCCGCCGGGGACGGAGACCGCGATACGCGGGAGGATGTCGTGCTCGCGCGTGTAGGCAGCAAAAGCTGTCACCGCGTCAAGCGTCAGGCTTGAGATGCCGCCTTGTATCCACGAGTTCGCTCCCTTGCAGTCGCTGCGAAGCGGAGCGGCAGGCGCAGATCGTTCGAGGAGACTGGAGGACGGCGCGCACGCTTTGAGAAGAGCACAGCCTGCAAGGATGGCGAGCACGCTCGAGATCTTCTTGAGGTGGGAGGTCGCAGCCCTCACGTTGGCGGTCTTCATCGGCGCAAGTCTGAGGACCAACGAGAGTCGACGATGCAGGGAGACCGTCGGTTGTGATGTCGGAGCCACGCAACCTTAATGATTCCGTTTTTCTTTCCGGTGGTGGCGCCAACGAGCGAGGAGCCGCGCCATCAGAGGGACGCGCCGCTGCGAGATGGAGGGCGGCGGTGACGGAGGCAAGGCGCGAGGCGGCGGCGGCGGCGGCGGCGGCGGCGGCGGCGGCGGCGGCGGCGGCGGCGGCGGCGCGGCGAGAACGGCGGCACCGAGTTGTCTCGGTGAGCGGAGCGGCGGCAGGAGGAGGAGCAGCTCGCTGTTGAGCGCTTTGGAGCCTGGGACCCCATGCCACTGCGACCGGCGTGCCCGGGAACAGAGATCGCGCGCGCGCCGCCACTCACGACGGTCGGCCGCCAGAAACCACGCCTGCGTGGATCGCGTCGCACCAATCCTCGCTACCCAACGCGGCCAAAGGATATCCACCTCGAGAACCTCGAGAACTCACGACGCGCGCGCGATCTTCGCGGAGTCGGGTCCCCAGAGGTTGCGTGACGATGTCGGAGCCACGCAACCTGGATTGCGTTTTTTTTTCCAGGTTGTTGGCCTGAGAGCTAGCAGCAGTGCTAGCAGCGCCAGTCCGCACCTGTGTCGAGCCTGTCTGCTGTGAGAGAGAGTTGTTTTGTTAAACTCTTTTTGGGAGGCGGGTTACAACGCCAGGGAGGACTAGGACGTACGTCGATGTGAGAGGAGAGAGAGAGAGAGATTTTTGAAAAAAATCTCTTCTCGACGTGCAGCTGCTGCCTTCCAAAAAGAGTTTAACACTTCTAGTCCGTGCACTCGACCGCCCTCGCCGCAGGCAAGCTCATTCACAATCTGCTCTGCGATTGCCGTGTGAAGAACGACTGAGATGCGCTGCTTCTGCAGCCCCAGCCAGCTCTTGGTGGTCCATGTCACCTCATCGAGGTACTGGGCCCGCGTCAGCTTGTTCTGCAGCAGGGCACGTTCGCCGCCTTCCAGAGGATCTCGCCGACCCCCTTCTCGAACCCACCGAACGACTCGAACAGCAGCAGCTGCACGTCGACGTCCTTGTCCTCCCTGGCGTAGCGATACTCGCCGCCATAGGACGGTATGCGGCGGTCGCCGCCCACCACCCTTCCCCCCTAGTATGCCAGCGACCCGTCCCCTGCCCCCTCTCGCCCTTGCTCTTCCTCTCCCCCTCCATGCCCTCGCCCCGGTACCCCTCCCCCCCCTCCCCCCCCTCCCCCCCCCCCCCCTCCCTCCTCGCAGTAGGGCCCATGCCCAACGACCATGTTCCGGTAGAACGTCGGTGTTGCCGAAAGCGACAAAAGCGCCCTTCCGACCGTGCTCCCCGCTGCTGCTGAGGGGGCAGACGACCTTGACATCGCCGGAATAGCGCCTGCCGCCCCCGCCAATGTTGCACGCGTCCACGTCGGGCTGTTTGTTGTAACTATGACCGAGGTGGTTTGTCGGAGCTCCATTCGCACAGCTGTGCCCCACGCGGCGCGTAGGGCGAGGATGAGGCGCTGAAGAGTACTTGTGTTTGATGTTGTGGCCCTGCTGCGGAACGTTGACAGCAGCGTCGCCAAACTCGTCGTGGTCCGCATCGCCCAGGTCTCCATTCGCATGTCATCCCGCATGGGGATGGCGTTGAGGAAGGCGCCGGCGCCATCCTGGCTCACCGCCACGAAGCGGACCGCCTCCCGGGAGCCGCGTGCCTCGCCCGCTCCCTGCCCTCGGCACGCGCCTTGCCCTTCTTGCCACGAGGAGCAGACCGCGATCCTTCGGAGCCCTCCTCGGCGCGTCCACGGCGAGGTCGCGCCAGTTCCTGTTGTGGACCACCGTCGTGTGAAGCGCCGCTGCGCCTGATGCAGGAACTCGTTCTTGGACGTAAACTCGGCGAGGGGCAGCAGCTCCTTGGCCGGGACGAGACTCGAGAGTATGCGGCCGGAAGACCGCCCCCACCAGCCCCTCCTCGGCACACGCCACACCCCGGCAGCCAACGTGACCGGGGGGCGGGTAACGTGTGTCGTGTCAAAAACACTGTTCAGTTTTCAAAGGCAAAACACAACGCTCTGCGGTTGGTGCACCCCTCGCACTGACACATTCCCCTCATCCCTTCCCTTGGCTGAGCACATCTACCTGCGAGCTAGCATCTCCGCATTTTCTCCTCTAGTCATCCGCCCGCGCCGCGCGTCACTATGGGCGTCTAGTGCAGCCACTGACAGAGCTATTCCGAAGGAGTGGTCGACGCCTCGCCTAGAGTCGGGTGGGCCCGCGCACTGCTTAGCCCTGAGGGGGGAGTGTGTGTGAGGCGGTGTAATGGGTCCTGTTTAAGGCGACAGTCTGGGGGATTAGGCGGGAGGGTCGGCAGCTCAGCCGGGCCTCGGCCATGGGCTGAGCGTCTGCGGGAAGCCTTCTGCCCGCGCCGAGTTCACAGCCTTCCCAGCCGACGGGGTTTTCCTTGGAGTCGGGCCCCGCTCCCCTTTTCTGTGCCTTGCCTGTCCAGGTCTATGTGTGTGTGAGAGAGCTAGGTTGCCTTAGAGGTCGTCGCTTGAGTCGGGGGTCGGCGGCTTGGCGCGCTTGCCGAGCGACGGCGGCGTGCCCGGCGCGATCGCCGCCTTAGCGGCGGCGATGCGGTCCGCGAGAGGGTCGGCGGGCATTGGCGTTGGCGTGGCGCCGGTGCCGTCGTGGATGTATTTGCAGCCAGAGCCGTTGGCGCACTTTGCCTTGGGGTCCCGCGCGATGACCTCCGCGGTGGCAGGGCCGCGAGTCGTGGCGGTGTGTTGGGCATCGGCCGGCGGCGTGGAGGCGGCACTCGGGCGCGCCGAGCGCAATGCTGCTGGGCTTGGGTCGCTGTTTCTTGGGGGGGCTGTGTCGTGTCAGTGAGTCGTGTGTGTGGAGAAGTTTACCACGCGGCTTTACGTTCACCTTACCTTACCACAGTTGACACTCCCACGCGCCACTCATGCCCTTCTGCACGCACACCGCACGTACGTCCCCGCGCGCACGCAAACATGCGCTGCGCGCCAACGCAGACTTTGTGCTGGCGTCCCATGGCGGCTCCGAGCCGCCCGCACCAGCTGCGCGCCTTCCGCCGGGGCTGGCAGGCGTCAAACGACCTGTTAGTTAGGTCGTTCTTGCGCGCTATGCGGATCCAATGAAGGACGCAAAGGACGCAAAGCTAGCGCCGCTTCGCGCACTACTTGCGCGCCGTGATCACGCCAAGCGTAGCGGCGACCGTGACGGCCACGGCAGCGGCGACCTCGAGCGATGCGATTGGCTCCACCACCTGGTCGAGCGACGGAGCGAAAGTGGGCGACGGGGCGGGGAGGAGTGGGGACAAGTACAAGTGACAAACTTGGGACGGGAGAGAGGGCTCACCTCGCCATCGATGTAGTGCATCGGCTTGGGGTTCACGGCCGCCACGACGAGGCGGCCGAGGGAGGGGCAAGCCGCCTCGACGAGCGGGACGAGGTACTTGTTGCGCGCGACGACAGCCGCGCTGTTGTACGAGGTCGCGACACCGTCGACGATTGGCCAGCCGCCGTGCATAGTGAGCGGGCTGTGCAGCCCGTCGGCTACGACCTTGGTTATCTTGAGGACGGGCGCCTGGCAGGAGGGGGGGGGGCAGGAGGGGGGGTGGGCAGGAGGGGGGGGGGGGGCGGGGGGCTAGCATCGGGAGAGGCAGGGGTGTGTGTGTGGTGCTGGGGGTATAGACGCGCCTGCACGAGCGTGCCCGCGGCCGGCGACGCGAGCCAGACCGTCTCTCCGACGGCAACCTCGGACGCCTGCTTGAGCGCCTTTGCCGGGCCGGCGGGCAGCTTGTGCGTCGGGGTGAGCGTGACCGTCGCCGTCGCGGTGGCGAGCGAGAGGAAGGCCGCCTTGGCGGACGGGTCGGCCAGCGAGAAGGAGGAGACGACGTCGAAGCCGAGGGTGCCTAGTAGAAGTAAGCGACTGTGAAACAGATGAAATCGCTCTCACACGGCATCGAAAACGAGGGCGCCGTCCGCCGCCGCCGCGAGGATCGAGTCGCCGGCGGAGAGGGAGGAGAGGGGGGCGGTAGCGCCGTCGGCACGATGCACCGTCGCAGAGCTCGGGAAGCACGGCGGGTCCGTGGACTGCGGCTCCACGTCAGGTGGCGACATTGGTGGCGGCGGCGTGGGCGGCGGATGGGAGGGCGAGGCCGACGGCGGCGGCGGTGGGGAGGGCGGCGCCATTGGCGGAAAGGGCGGGGGCGGCAGGGTCGGCGGAGAGGGCGGCAGAGAAGGCGGCGTGCTGTTGCATACGTTATCCCATAAGCTTGGAAAGGACGGCCAGGAGGCTAGCCAGGAGTTCGTCGCCATGCTAGCGTCACCGGGGGGGTAGGGCGGCAGGCCGGGGGGGTAGGGCGGTGGCGGGTAGGGCTGCAGGCCGGGGGGGTAGGGCGGTGGCGACGGAGGTGGCGGTGAGGGCGGCGGCGAGGGCGGCGGCGTGGGAGCCTTGCCTGGCGGGAAGGGCGGTGTCGAGGGCGGCGGCGGCTCAAAAGGAGGCGGCGAGGGAGGCGGGCTAGGCGCCATCCACCACTGCCATCGCTCCCTCAACTGCCGTTGAACACATCTGATGAGGTCGATGCCTGTCTGATGTGTTTGACAGTGGGCGATGGACAGGCTAATGTTGAACCCACGAAACATCCCACTGTCGCCGAGGACCATATTGGCCGTGTTGTCGCCGAGGACAATGTCTGTGGCGTTGTCACAGATAACAATGTTGGAAACATTATTGCCGAGTGAGACGTTGAAAATATTGTTGCCGAGGTAGACGTTCGAAGCTTCGTGGCCGATGACAATGTCAGTGGCAACATGGCCAATCGTAACTTGCTCGGCGTTCCGACCGATAGAAACTGATGATGCTTTGCTACCAATGAACGTCGTCAATTGCTTGTTGACGAATTCCACGCAGTTCGACGCATTCCAAGTGAGGCACCCAACAAAGACGGCGGAGTAACCGCCAATTGTGACATCTTTGGCGTCATCCCCGATGTAAAACCCGCCGACTATGATGCCCAAAGTCCCAGGTTGAGGTTCAGTGTAGTCAGCAATTGTGATTTGGTCGTAGCCACCAATGGCGATGTTTGCGGCATTCTGGCCGATCCCACCGTAGGTATGAGGTATTTTGTAGACATTGTCGCCAACAGCGAGGTCCCCGCTTTTGCCAATGGTGACGTTGGTGGCACCGTCGCCCACGGAAATGCTGCCGCCGAAATACCTAGTATTTCTACCTATCATAATGTTGCCAAAGCCACCGAAGGTGACGTCGTTGCAGTTGCTGCCAATATCAATGTATAAAGGATTGTCGCCAAGGAAGACGTTGCGGTTGTTGTTGCCAATTTTAAGGGCATTGAATACAATGCCTTCAGCGTTTTCGCCTATCGCAATGTTGGCACTCTTGCCAATGGTAATATTCTCGTTCATGTTGAACACCACAACATTACCAATGGCGATGTTCTTGGCACCATCGCCGACTGTAATGTTGGTCAGTCCTCCGATGGATATGTCGACGTTCCCGTACCCCAGTCCGAAAGTTCCAAAACTGCCAGCACCTGTAGTTCCCAAAGAGCCGAAAGTTGGAAATGTGAACTTCTGCAAGGGGTCACTGTCCTTGCAAGGATTCAATGCGTCGCCCCAGTTGGTGAGGTTAGCAATGTCATGCGGTGACGACGGTGGTGGGGACCAGGGGGGGGGTGGGGAGGACGGCGGCGGGCCCAAGCTGTTGCCAAAGGTAAGGTGAGTGATGTCGCCTACTGTGATGTTCTTCGAGTGGCTTCCGATAGCGCCGGCACAAATGGAAACGGCATTCACGGCGTGCCCGATTGTGATATCCGACACCTTGCCCATGGTGATGTGGCTCGTGTAACTGTCAATTCCGAAGGTGCCAATAACCACACTGATAGCCTGATCGCCAATGGTGATGCGCGTAGTGCGTGGGGTGATGATATAGCTCGCGTGAAATCCAATCGCTACGGCGTTAATGGTGATAAAGGTAGCTGCTTCACCCAAGGTGACATCGGAGCTGCCGCCAGTGGTGATAAAGCTCGAGCCCCAGCCAACTCCCACTGCACCAATGCCTAGCCCACGAGATTTATCGCCCAAGGTGACATCGGAGCTGTCGCCGATGGTGATGTAGCTCGCGCGCGAGCCAATGGCTACGACGTCAATGCTGATAGAGGTAGCTGCTTCACCCACGGTGACATCGGAGCTGCCGCCAGTGGTGATAAAGCTCGAGCCCCAGCCAACTACCCCAGCACCAATGACTAGCGCAGCAGATTTATCACCCACGGAAATGCGCACATGTTTGCCGATTTGGACGTTCCTTGTGTGGCCAAAGATTGAGATCGCCTTCACGGCGACATACGCGACTGCCTCCCCCAAAACAAGATTGGAGTTGTCGCCGATGGTGATGTCGCTCGCGTGCTCGCCAATTGCTAATGCGCCAATTGTTGCGGGGCCAGAGCTGTTGCCAAAGGTAATTTGGGTGTTATCGCCGATGGAGATGCCGGTGGCGTTTTTCCCGATTGCGACGGAGTTGACGGCGACATACGCGACTGCCTCCCCCCAAAAAAGATTGGAGACGTCGCCGATGGTGATGTCGCGCGCGTTCTCGCCAATTGCTAATGCGCCAATTGCTACGGGGCTCGCCGGAAGCGCGGTGACGTCTGGCAGCGCGGTTGAGGATGCGACAAGCGCGGCGCCGCCAGTGACGGTGACCGAACTGCCAGCGACGGTGGCCAAGCAGAGAAGGACGCTGAGCAGGCTGGACCAGCCGAAACGGCGGGCCTTTGAGTTGCGGCGCCACATCGCCGTGCCGGCGGCGACCGCGGCGGCGACCTTCGGCGGACCCGCCGCGAGCCACGAGAAGGCGCTCGCGAAGAAGCCGGCAGGCGCCGCCGCCGCGCTGGTGAGGCACGCCGTGGCGGCAGCGAGGCAGGTGGCCCACACCGCGCCGCGAGCCCCCTTTCCGCTCGCCGCGGTCGGCCAGGAGGCGCCGCAGGCGATGGCGAGGAGGATGAGCACGAGGGCGGGCACGAGAAGCGGCGAGCAGCTCACGAGCGAGGACGCCTTCGAGGCGACGGCGGGCGAGAAGGCCGAGGACGCCGCCGAGGCGACGCCGGATGAGAAGGTAGAGGACGCCGACGAGGCGACGGAGGCTGCCGAGGCGACGGCAGACGAGAAGGCCGAGGCCACCTCCGTCGGGCTAGGCACGGCGGGCGCGCAGTGGCCGAAGGCGGGTATGCAGACGAGGAGCAGCCACCGGAAGGCGCCCTCGGCCTTCGTGTAGCCGCCCCGCACGCAGTCGGCCGCCGCCTTGAGGCCGGCGCGACCGCCGGCGCCGCATGTGCCAGCGCCGGCGCCGCACGTGCCAGCGGCGAATGGCGCCTTGCCGGACGTGGTCTGCGGCTCGCGGCGCCGGTCCGGCGACTTGCAAGGCGGCGTCTGCGGCCCGCCGCGCGGCTTCGGTCGCCGGTGCGAGCCGCGGCCGCGGCCCTTTGCCTTGCCAGACTTGCGCCTGCCCCCTGCCTTGCCAGACTTGCGCCTGCCCTTGCCAAACGTGGGGTTGTTGCGGCAGCGCATGGCCTTGCGCCGGCACTTGCACCCGCACCCCGACCGCTCGGCGTCCAGCTTCGCCCGCTGCATCTTGGTGAGCAAGATCGCGGCCATCGCCTTGTCGCGCACGGCGAGATAGTACTCGCGTGACGCGGCGTCGGCCTGCCCCGCGCCCGCGACCGCGCCAAGGGGCTTGGGCGCCACGCCGAAGGAGGTGGGGACTCCCGGCGACGGCGACTTCTTGCCGTCGGCGGGCGTAGCCTGGTAGACGACGCTCTCGCCCAGCCGGCGGACTTCGGCCTCGACGCCGTCCACGTAGCCCGGTCCGGAGCCGCTGCGGGCCGACGCGGGCCCGCTCTGCCCCACCTCCTTCGGCGTGGGCAGGCCCGGGTGGCAGGTGGTGTCCTGCAAAGCGCGATAGGGGCACACGGGAAGGGAGATTATTACCGGTGGGAGAGCGAGAAGTGCCAGGAGAGAATGCTGCGGCGCGCTCACCGCTGGGTCAGGCGTGTTGGAAACGGTCTTGGCCGGCTTCTCAACCTCCTTGGCAGCCTCCTCGGCGACGGCCTCCTTGGCGACGGGCGCCTCCTCGGCGACTGCCTCCACGGCGGCGGACACCTCGGCGGCGGCAGACTTGGTGGTCGCCTCCTCGGTGGCGGCTTTCTCGGTGGCAGACTCGGCGGCGGCGGACTTGGTGGCGGCGGACTCCTCCGCGGCGGCGGACACCTCGCCGGCGGCGGACTTGATGGTCGCCTCCTCGGTGGCGGACTCCTCGGCGACGACGGCCTCCTCGGAGGCGGCCTCCTGAGTGGCGGCCTCCTCCTTCACAACGACGTCGTTGTTGACGCCGCACGCCTGCGCGAAGGAGAAACGTAAATGTTTGGAGAGTGACGGGGACACCGCAGGGACAATTCCGATCCTGGCGTAAAAGTGCGCACCTCAGCTCCGAGGAGCGAAGGCGGCAGCGACATGATGCCGGCCTTGACGGAAGCCGTTGACCCGAGCTCGGTCTGAACCTGGCCCCCCTTCTCAGGCGCGAAACAAAAGCTGATTGGCACCTTTGCGAGGCTCCGATGGAACACGTGGGGGTTGTCGAACCAGACGCCCCTTGTTGATCTCACAACCAAGAAAGCCGACTCGCCCTCGCTCTCATTGAAGTCGACCATGTAGCGCCTTCTCGGTTCGCGTCCTGCAGAGCAGACAGAATGGGTGCCGTGAGCGGAGTGCGACAAAGCGCCAGCATCGCGGAATGGCATTGGGCGGAGAGGTGTGCGAACAGCTATGCGCATGTGTGGGGTCTGAAATGAGAGGGGAGTGACGGGGGACAAAGCTCGGACGTTGAGCCTGCGGAGGGCGGCGCAACGAGGGAGCGGGCTCAGGCTCATGTTGCGGGCGAGTGATGCAGGCGACGACGCCGGAGAATGAAGAGAGGCCGCGCGGACGAGGGCGAGGTCGAGGGCAAGGGCGGCGGCGGCGGTGGCAACGCAGCGGCGCACCGCACTCTCGTCCGCGATGTCCGTGTAGCACTCGGTGGTCGCCTGCGACAAGCCGAAGTTGTGGCCGCCCTTGTAGGCCTTCGAGCAGGGACGCGCAGCAGGTACGCGCAGGGCCGAACGGCGTGTCCAGGAGCATAAGTAGCATGATGTTGATGTACGTGATGCTGATGGTGGTGGTGGTGGTGACGATGACGATGATGACGATGATGACGTATGAGCATCATCGCGACGTGCCGGATCGCGTCGCGGTACATGCTCTCAGCGCTCGCTCCGCACGACGGGTGATGTGTGTGTTTGTCCGCACGACGGGGGATGTGTGTGTTTGTGCGTCGGTGGAGAGGTGTATGCTACGAGTGGAGGGGCGCAGGCGCTCACGAGCAGCGTCGATGCACCTCGCACCTACTCACAGCGGACGCAGCTTGAGGCCGCTCGCACCTACTCACAGCACGCAAGAGGCCGCGGCGCTTCCCTCGCCCACGTTGTTTTGGATCTGCGCGGGCGACGGCGACGAGCGTCAGCAGCACAAAATGGGATGAGCATGGTGTTGGCTTGTTTTGGGGGTCGCGGGGGCGCTGTAGGCATGGAGGCGACCCGCGCTCAGGAGCGCTCCGATTGTCCAGATTCGTGTCGATACTCGGATCGAGCCGCTCGCACGGCGGTCGCAGCACGGCGTGCAGCCGGGCTCGCTTCAGTGGTGGTTGTGGGGCGAGGCGGGGCACGCGCGGTGGCAGCTCTCATCTCGGCTGCGTCGCGCCGGGCGAGGGGAACCGAGCGGCACCTGGAATCTCGTGTTGACCGAGCTGTCTGGCTGGCGATCAAAACCGGCGCCCTCGACCGACGGCTTTGGTTGCGGTTCCTGCTTGCGATCACAAAACAGGGTCTCGACAAGTTTCAAGAAATGTGTGGCGAGAATGTGTGGTGTTCGTGATGAACGAACGCGCACCCCCCCCCAGGCTCTGCTCCTGTGGTGGGGGCGTGACAGCTTCTACGAAGGAAGCCGTCGCCTGCGCCTTGTCGCGTGAATAAAAGGTCGTGTAGAAAAGAAAACCGAAACCTCGGCCTGCATCTCGCTAGAGACGTCATCCCCAGAGATAGGATCTACAAGGCGGTAGGTCCCGTGGTTCGCACGGCGCGCCGCTGCCGCACGCACACGGACCGTCCTCACGCCCGCTGCTGCACATTGACCAACCATACTGTACGCACCGCGCGAAGCGGCATCAAACGTGGGAAGGAGGCCTCGCCTCTCTGCTAGCACGACAGTGGCGGCGTGTCTGCGCCTCGCACCACTCGTGTCTGCGCCTCACACCTGGCCGTGGCTCTCGCAGGCGCTCAGCAGCCGGTCGGCAGCCGCCGCAAAATGGACACTTTCCTCGACTTTCCCTACTACGACTTACCGCTCTCCAACGAGGTGCTTCCTTTTCTGCTCGTCGACCCTGGTGCTCTATTCGCTGCCGGATTTGAAAAAGACCGCCTGGAGAACAACGTCAGCAAAGACAGGAAGCTCTTTATAACGCCCTACCCCGACATCTACTCCTTTGCGATGTGGGCCTCCATCAGCCGCTACTTCGCTGCCGCTGGCATCAATCAGGCGGCCGAGGTCCCATTCCAGGCCGTGGCGCAGGACGACGGAACGCCCGGGAAAAACGAGCCACAGCCCGTGTCGGTCTATGGATCTTCGGACGGCGACGGTTTCATGATGCTGTGGCTCGGCTGCCGCTGCTCTTGGCCAGTGACACAATTGATGTGGTGGCAAGCCCTCGGCTGCCAGCTGCATGCGTGGGCCGCCGTCGTGGTCGCAGTGCTGACACTCATCCTCCAGATTATGATCCTCGACGGCTACCTCTCGCAGATGGTGGGTCAGGCATCCCGCCCCTCCGCACCACAACCTCACTACTAACCGTAGCGCGTGCTGATCCCGTGGCGTGCGTCTCACAGGCGCCGCACGTTCCTCGCAAACTCTCGATCGAGGTGGAGGAAGATCGATTGGGCTACCTGTGGCAGCTCATGGAGGTTATCGTGGTGCCGCTGGTCATCCTCTTCCTTGTTATCGCTTGCACGCATGGCTCGAATATGTCCCATGCATACTTCCTACTGATGTGCGTGGTGCTGCGGTAGGGCTGCCTCACATTGAAAGAAGGCTGCTGCTGAGTCGCCGTTGTTCTGGGTTCGAGTGGCGGGCCATCCCGCTTGCGGGATGGCTTAGCGGGTTCGAGCCGTCACACATTGGCTGCCGGGGTGTGCCGAGGGGGGGCTGGGTGGGCGGTAGGCCGTCATTGCCCGGCGCTGCTTGCAGCGCTCTGGGTGGTAGTGGCGGCGCTCCAAGAGTGGTGCTCTTGGGAAGAGGTTCCTCCTTTCCGCTCCCCCCCCGCAAGGCGCGAGACACACACTGTTCTATGACAGGACTCTCGCGAACCGCTACGAAGGCCAGACCTATGCCTACTTCACCGTCGCCTTCTGGTCGGTCATCCTGACCATCAAGTATAAAATCATCTTCGCGTATGTTGTTTTGTTGATCCCCCTTTTCATCGTCAGCGGCGTGTCTGGCAACGTGCTCACGGTCCGCTCGCCGGCGTTGCTTCTTTCGCTCTTTGCACTCATTGCGCTCTTGCACTTAGGATGGGGAGATGGGGGAATAGCTTGGCCCTCTCACCTAACCACTTGTGTGGGGCATTAAGCTTGCCTTCTCCTGCGCGCTCCAGGACGCCGTCGATGTACTCGTCATTTTTACGGCCATTTCCAGCTTCCAAATGCGCGCATTCAAAATGATCATGCCCGCGGGGGGGGAGCCCGCGCCCAGCCCAGCCCCCCCCCCCCCCCCCACCCCACCCCAGGTTTGCTTTCCAGTTCGTCATGTTTGTGGGCTGCCTCGGCACCTTCACCCCCGAGTCGCCGCTCACCAGTGATCTCATCACGTACGTCGTCGGCATGCGGCAGCCTGTCCTTGACCGCGCTTTCGCTTACGTCGGTCAGTGGTGGCAGCTTGCCGTCGGCGTTTTGTTGATCTACATCCTGCCGGAGAGCACTTGGGCCGGCGCTCGCCACACCACGCCGGCGTCGCATTGCTACTTACGCATCCCCTCTTGCTTCGTAGTACTACTTCTCCGCCCTCGTCCTGTGGGTCGTTCCGATCTCGGCCGTCTACTACGAGATCTGCTCAAAGGAAATCCCCCGCCCCGCCGCCAAGCCCTCTCTGAGCGCTAAGCCCCCGTCCCCTATCCACTGACCTCGAGAGCGCGGTGCTGACCTGCTCCGTCAGGCCATCCTTTGGTGCATGGAGGGCCCATCAGCTTGCCCGCCGCACACCGGACCATGCCTCCATCTCATCGGCATCGGCACTACGCTCGTATGCATCTTCCTGTTTGTGCTGCGCTACGGCTGCTTCCTCTTCCCGTGCGTCTGCGCGCCCGAGGTATGCCCGGCTGGCTCCCCCCCCTCACGCACCCGCTCTTCACGCCTCCAGCCGTGCACAGGTGCCCGGCTGGCTCGCCTTCCCGCCCTCGACCGACCTGCTCTCGCCGCTCGGTAAGACGTGGGGCTTCAAGTACTGCACCCTCTTCGTCCAGCGCGTCGTCGGCTTGTGGAATGGCGCCGACTGGCCGCGGGACTGCGCCATGGAGCCGGACGCGAGCAACTACGCATCGTCCGCAGACCCGAGGCACTTTGCGGCATCGGTGGGCAAGGCGCTTGCCGGGCACGACGCAGACGTCGAGGAGCTGCGCGGGATGTTCGAGCGGCAGGCCGCGCAGGCCGCGCAGCAGGCAGCGCAGATCGCGGCGCTGCAAGCCCAGGCGGCGGGCTAGAAGGTGGATGGGGGCGATGGGTGTGAGATTGAGGAAAGGTAGCGGCTTGGTCAGTGAGAATGCTGCCAAAACATCCTTCTTTGTGTGTGTGTGCGTGGGGGGAGACGGGAGTGGTGCCTTTTGTTTATTGACTTTGTCGTTTCACGTTTGCGGGGTGGGACTCAGCCAGCGCTAGCTAGAGGCTGCGACACATCCCGAGTGATGAGCGTACGGCACTAAGCCACTCAGGGCCACGCCCCCCCCTCTGTCGCCCCTCCCAGCACCCACGGTGCCAAGGGCACAAACATGACACCGGAAACAACACACACAAACATGCGACAGGGGACGCGGCACTGTCCGAGGAGGCAACCGGCCAAAAAAAAGCGCATGTCTTGAAGGTCCGATACTGGAAGCCCATATAGGCACCTAACACTCCCCCGCAGTATCGCACCTCTTGAGCGACACTACGTTTCCGCAGCTGGGGATTCTCCGGGTACCCCTCTTTGTACCCGTGCTGGCCGGATTCCTCCTCCGAACAAGTCAAGTTCGATCGGCCCCAGTCTCGAACTGGCAGCCACTATCTCACCGGAGGTACCATGTCCGAGGAGGCCACCGGCCAAAAGCGCATGTCTTAGGTAGGTAGGTAGGTAGAAAGGTGAAGAACAGCCAGGCTCGGACTGGACACCAACGCGGTATGGGTGGACGCGAGACAGATGATGACGACACGCACGAGCGACACACAGACACAAACAAGCTCACAAGACACACAGCCAGCTGGCTGCCACACACCCTGAGTTGGCGTACACATAACTCAAGGCCACATCCTCCCTGTCGCCCCCCCCAGCACTCCAAGGTGCCAAGAGAACAAACAAGGGCACAACAACACAACAGACGACAGGGGAGAACGCGTGAGGCTAGAGCAGGCTTGCTCGTCCTCTAGCAATCTCCGCCGACCGCGAGGCCGGACTAGACCGTGTGTGGGGTCATGTGAGGTGTCTCTGGTCACTCTCCTCAGGGGCTAGCCGCCATGTCTTGATAGGCACCTTACGCCACGATACCACACCGCGCAAAAAGTTGGTACCCTGCCTTTCGAGTTACCCGGTAGCAAGGCCTTTTATGTGCTGCCGGTCATGCCGTCGACGCTGCAGGTGCACCCACCAGGCGACCTCGGCCCGTCCTCTCTCTGTGCGGCCGGCTCTCTGGTCCTCGTCGTCGCTGCCACCTCTGCGGCGCTCGGGCTTCGGCTTGAGGGCAAGATAGCGGTGTCTGCGCTGCGGACGGTGTGCCAGCTGCTCGCGCTGGGATCGCTGCTCTACCCAATCTTCTCCTACAACCGACCGTTTGTCGTCATTCCTTACATTGCGTTGATGGTCTGTTTTGCCGCCCGAGAGGCGGCCGCCAAGCCGCAGCACACATACAGTCAGATGGCCGCTCACTTCGGCTTCGCTCTCGCCCTGGCGCTGACCACCTCCTTCGCGCTGTGCGCCGGCCTCATCCTACGGCCGACGCCGTGGTGGGACGCGCAGATCATGATCCCTGTCAGCGGCATGCTGCTCGGCAACGCCATCTCCGCCCTGTCCCTCGGCGTAGACCGGTTCGTCGGTCTGCTGTGCGGCGGCGAGGGCGGGCAAGTGAGGTGCCTCCTCGCGTGCGGCGCTTCGAGGGTCGAGGCGGCGCTGCCCGCAGCGCAGGGCGGCCTGATGACGGGCCTCACTCCCACCCTCAACCAGATGAGTGTCATCGGCCTCGTCTCGATCCCCGGCATGATGACCGGGACGGTGCTCGGGGGCACGCCGCCGCTCGTCGCCGCAAAGTACCAGATGATGATCATGTTTGTCATCCTGTTCACCTCCTCGGCCGCACTCGCCACCTCGATCGCCCTCGCAGCCTCCTCGCTCCTCGACGCTCGCGCCTTTCTCCACCCGCACAGGGCCCAGCGGAGAGCCGGCAGGAAGCACGCGGACATTCTCGTGGCGGCCGCGGCCGCAGTTGCGGGTGTGGCGCGACGGCTCGCGGGGGCGTGCGGGCGGGCTCGGCCCGCCCCTCCGGTGTCCTCCGACGCCGCCCGCTCGCTACTCGGTGAGGCCTCCGCCTCCGGCGGGCCGCCTCCGCTTTCGGCACGAGGCCTCTTCTCACCCCGTTGTGTGTTGACGCGATCCACTAAAGCCACTGCCGAACTCCCACCCCCCGTTGCCGAGCTCGCGACGTAGGCTGCTTCCGCGAGGCGCCCCTCGCGGCAGGGGCAGAGGCGGCGCTCCTCTCCCTCTCGGATGGCTTCGTCGAGGCCGGCTCGGGGACGCCCCTGGTGGGCGCAGAGAGGCTCTCAACCGCGCGAGATGGCCCGAGAGATGACCCGAGAGATGGCCCGAGAGTAGGTGCGGATGGCCTCGCTCACGGTGAGAAGGGGCGAGGCGCTTGCGCTGCGGGGCCCGTACGACTAGATGGTACGACTAGATGGTACGACCAGACGGTACGACCAGATGGTCCACGCAGCCCACGCAGCTCACGCTCCCACGCAGCTCTGCGGAGCACACGGCACGAGCGCCGCAGGGGCGAAGTGGTCGCCAGCAGTGCCAGACAGAGTACTTGATCCCCGTGTTTTGGAAGATCTGCATTCGCCCCTAGGCCCGTCGGGCAGCGGCAAGTCGTCACTCCTCAGAGCGCTCGCCGCGGCGGTGCCGCTCGCCGCAGGGTCGCTCACGCTGAGTGGCGGCACGCTCGCCTCGCGAGGCGCCGCACGCTGGCGCGCGTCGGTGCTCTATGTCCGGCAGGAGGGCGGGCGCGGGGTCCTAGATGCGGACTATCTCCCCATACCTCCCCAGATCTCCCCACGTCTCGCCTTCCTAGAGACTCGAGTGTTCGCTCAGACGCTGGTGTGCTCATGACGTAGCCTTGGGCTGCCCGGCTCGCCGAGGCGGCTGTTTGACCGCATCGTTTCGCTGCGAGTGCAGCGGGCGCGCCAAAGCCCGGCAGCGGCACGGTTCCGGCTGCTGCACCGACTGTGAATGCGGATAGTTTCTCTTCACACCTCCGACCATGAACAGGCGTGGTCCCGGCTGCTGGAGGGGCTGGCGAGGCTGCAGCTTCCCGACTCGCTTCTCGAGCAGGAGTGGGCCCCTCAACCCTTACCTAATCCCAACCCAAACCCTAACCCTAACCAATACCCTGACCCTCACCCTGACCCTCACCCCGACCGCTCCTTGAGCAGGACTGGGCCTCCCTCTCTGGCGGCGAGAGCCAGCGCGTCTACCTGGCGATGATGGTGGCGCTGCGGCCGCAGGTCCTTCTCCTCGACGAGGTTTGGCGGAGATTTCGCCGAGATATCCCCGAGATGCAGCCAAGATCGACGAGGCGACGAGCGCACACACACGCGACCCACACGCGCACGCAGAATGGGGGAGCTGCTCCCCTAGGTGACGAGTGCGTGCGACGGCGAGGCGACCGCGCTTGTGGAGGCGCTGGTGGCGCAGGCCGCGGTCGGGGCGGTCTGGATCACGCATGACACGGCGCAGGCGTCACGGGTGGCCACCCGCATTGTGGAGTTCCAATTAGTGGCTTGCGATGCTCTATGCTGACCGCGCCCACGGCTCTACTACGGTTCATCCTCGTCGAACTACCGTTCGCGCTGAATCGCGCCCTCCTCTCTAGTGCTACCTTGTAAACGGACACCGCGCCCAGTAGCAGCCGACGCGGCCCAGTAGTGCAGCCGACGCCACACCACGCGAGCGTGTCATACGAACCTTATTAGCGCCGTGGTGCCGTCGTTGCCTTGCGGCGTGCGTCCATGGATAGTAGCAGTTCTCGTTCTATCAGTAGCGTGTACCTTCAACTAATCTACTAATCGCATCTAGAGTTCTTTTTCTTCTTTCTGGCGGCATGTGCGCCGACCAGGCTCGGGGCGACCTGGCCTCGCTGCGCGCCTTCCTCTCCGGGTGGCGGACGCGCGGCACGTCGCTCGCGAGCTCGACGCGCGGCACGACACCGAGAGGCATAACACGCTGCTGACCTGGGCCGCTCGGCACGGGCAGGCCGAGGCGGTGTGGCTGCTGCTCGACAGCGGCGCGAGCGTGGGGGCGACGAATGATGACGGCGCTTCCGCGCTGCACATCGCGTGCCAGGAGGGGCAGATTGAGTGCGCCCGGCTGCTCCTCGAGGCTGGCGCGGCGACCGACCAAGCAGACGCCAGAGGCGCCACGCCGCTGTCCATCGCGTGCCTGCAGGGCCATGACCAGTGCGTCCGGCTGCTTCTCGAGGCGAGCGCGGCGGTCAATCAAGCCAACGGCAGCGCCACGCCGCTGATCATCGCGTGCTACAAGGGCCACCTCGAGGTCGCCCGGCTGCTGCGCGACGCTGGCGCGGCCGTCAACCAGGCCGCGGCGAACGGTGCCACGCCGCTGTTCATGGCGTGCCAGGAGGGCCATCCCGAGTGCGTTCGGCTGCTTCTCGAGGCTGGCGCAGCGGTCGACCAGGCCTGCGGCAATGGCGCCACGCCGCTGTTCATGGCGTGCCAGGAGGGCCAGCTCGAGTGCGCACGGCTGCTTCTCGAGGCTGGTGCAGCGATAAACCAAGCCACGCAGGATGGCGTCACGCCGCTGTTCATCGCGTGCGAGACGGGGCAGCTCGAGTGCGTGCAGCTGCTCCTCGAGGCTGGCGCGGCGGTCAACCAAGCCAAGCAGAACGGCGTCACGCCGCTGTACATCGCGAGCGAGAACGGCCACCCCGAGATCGCCCGGCTGCTCCTCGAGGCTGGCGCGGCGATCGAGCAGACCTGCAACGACGGCGCCACGCCGCTGTTCATCGCGTGCCAGGAGGGCCACCCCGAGTGCGTCCGGCTGCTCCTCGAGGCTGGCGCGGCGGTAAGCCAAGCCGAGGACAACGGCGCCACGCCGCTGCTCATCGCGTGCCTAGAGGGCCACCTTGAGGTCGCCAAGCTCCTCTCCTCCTATGGCGCCTCCCGCGCCGCTACGCCATCCGTCGGCACGCCCGAGGAGGCCGCAACCAGCGCAGGCCACGCCGACCTCGCCGCCTGGCTGGTCGCCAGCCGCGGCTGGACGCCGCTCGCGCACCTTGAGACCCTCACCGCCGCCCGCGCCACCTCCCTCCTGCGCGGCGGCGCAAGCTTGCACGAGGGCGAGCCGACGCCGCTGCGGCGCGCCGCGGGCGGCGAGGGCGAGGCGGCGGCGTTGGTCCGGCGGGCGGCGGCGCCGTGGTCGCCGGCAAGCCACTCGCTCTTCCCCGCGGCGGCCCGCGCGCGGGCGGCGCTCCTCGTCGTCTCGATCTACGCGATCCACGAGCGGTACCACCTCGACTCGGCCGGAGCCACGAACGGCATCGCGGCGCTCGACTTTGGCCACTGCGTCTTGGGCTTCGCCATTGTGGGCGCGAGACGGAGTAGGCCGGAGGCGCGGTGAGAGTCTTTGCCTCGGCTCCGACCATGGTCGTGGCTCGTGCTGCTTGCTGTCTTGGGTCCGGAACCGCTGTTTGGATATTGGGAGAGTGCGCATTTGGGGGGGGGGGGGGGGATGCCGATGGGGGAGATTGTAACAAAAAGCCACGACACACACATATTTTCCAGCGGGGTCTGGCTCTGTCTGGTACTGGAGACTCTGGCACTTCTCCCTGGCTCCTGAGAGAGGAGACTGCCTGAGTGCCTGTGCGGGACTGCGAGCTCCTATATATGGAGAGATCCTTTTACCTTTTCATTCCGGCACATCCCCTGGCGGCATGTGTGTGTATCGCCGACGCACACGCAGGCCTGCAGCGGACCACCCCCACCCTCAACGGAGGGCTGCAGCGAAATTACCAGCGAATGCTTGCCTTCCCCTGTGCGCGGCGTATCTCAGTGCCGCTTTTGGCGGTCCCTCCATCGCTCTCGTCATCTCCACGGCTGTAGCGCGAGTCCGATGAGCAGCGCCGCCGGCAGGAGCGACCCTATGCAGTAGATATAGCGGTCATCGAACATCGTGAGGACGCCGCTTCGTCGCTCGGCGGTGGCTTCACTACCTATGCAGCACACGCGCGCCGCCTCGGCGCCGCCGACGGCGCCCACGGCGTACGCGACGCAGCAAAAGGATGCCCGAAATCACCCGTTTTTGCCCAATTTTTGGTCATCCGTTAAAATATCTGAAGATCTGAATGGGGGATTCTCCCCAAACCTTGCTCAGCTGATCCAGCCTGGGGGGAAGGCCAGCCCTGGCCAAAGAAACCAGCACCTCATCAGGCTTCCCTGAGCGTCACAGCTCGGTGATTGCGCCGGCCGGACACCACTGTAACGGCCGTTCCGGGCGTTTGAACGCGACCTTCGGGGGCGAAGACATGGGCTCTATGGCTCAGACTGGACTCCTCTTGGTCCCTTCTGATGCCCTAGGCCACACCTGGGCCTTACCCGGGGTCCTAGGGGGCGGGCAGGGTTTGCCCCCCGAAACTGGCATGGGGCACCTTAATGGTAAGGTTTCTTAATGCCCGCAACAGACTGTACTGCTTCCACATTCACATTCCGAGGTTAGCCACAAGTCATCGAACTTGTCGAATGTGTGTGCGAAACAGCGCCCAAAGATAGGGAGGGAGCACCGGGGGCCTGAGGGATGGCGTGCTCCCTTACTGCCGGCTGCATCCCGGTCGACTCTGACCTTTACGGGCCTCCCAGCAAAATCACCACCCTCAGCGAAACACCAATTGTTGCCGAGTGCTGCTGCCCGGGTGAGCCGGTCGTCGAGGTGCGGCCAGCCGCGGGGGCGTTGGCAAACAATGATTGGCCCAACGTCGTTGTGTGCCGCGACCCGGAGGCGGCACATCCGCAGCCTCCACCGCCGACACCACCCACGACGATCGCCGGCTGCCATTGGTGCCACGACCTTCCCTCTTTTTACATGCAACGACGCGGGTCCCAGCGGGTTTTCACGTAACAAGTACACACAAAATGGGGGATCGCCGGCCCCCACCAGTAAAACGAGAGCCCGCCCCCGCGCGACGTGTCTGATCTGAGATGATCGTGCCCGCGAGCAGGCTGCGACCGAGGTTGCTGCTCCCCTGTGCTCTTTTCTCTAGCCGCTACCCTTTCCTCTTTGTCTCGTGGCGGAAGCGCTGCGTTGCTGCCTGGCTTTGCGACGGCATTTGGAACCTTTGACCAGAGCCATCTCTTGTTATCCGTCTGGTCAGTGCTCGGCCCCGCCCCGCATGAGCTGGAGGCAACGCCTCGCGGCATCTGCCCTTTGCCCGCAGGAACTTTCACCGCGGCGGGCGGCGGGCGCCAGTTTGCATTCGGCATGCCCACAGGATTCTACGAGGGACCGGTCGTGATCTGGCTGCCTGGCACTGGCAACGACTGCAGCGGAGCCTATCATCAAGAGTTCTTTGCCACCATATCGTCCAACCTTCCTTGTCTCTGTGGTGCGTACGACACCAATGCAGCTTTTTTGGCGGGAAGGTCAAGGACGGTTGCCTTGAGCATCACAGAAGAGATTGAGCGCCTGATTGGGATTGGAATGGCCGCGCTGAAAGCTTCATACCCGGGCTGCGGTGTCCTTGCCGACCTCAACGTTGGTGTTGGCGCCGCGTCCGGGTGGGAGTGGGAGCGACTGATCCTATCTGGCCACTCTCAGGGCGCCGTCCACGCCGCACGGCTGTCGCAGCGGCACCGGGTGGGCAGGGCCATTTTCTTTAGCAGTCCCTGCGCAATGTTTAACGACGAGCTTGCTTGGATGAGCGGTCCCTTTGCCACTCCGGCCGACCGACTGTTTGGCCTCACGTCTGTCGCCGACATGACGTGTCCATGGGATAGCAGAGGGTGGAACTTGCTTTTTGGCGTCAACCAGGTAGGGGTGAGGCGGCAGTGGGCCAGGATTGGCATCACCGACCTTCTCGAGGTGAATGAGCGGACCCCGCTGGCCTCGTACTCGCCCGGAAATAGCCACGGCATCTACCTGGCGATGAAGCGGGCGATTGGCTGCTTGTACGTGGACGGCCACACCGAGACCGTTTACGACCTCTTGCCGCCGTGCTGGTACGACCGGAAGCGGACGTGGGGGCTGCTGTTCGGGTGGGTAAATAAATAAACACAACTTCCAAGCACGCACGATGCGAAGCACAACAGAGCAGACAGATGACGATTACCACCCAGCGCACGACCGCCAACTCTCCGGCGCAGGCCGCGAAGAACCGAGTCGTCCGCGGGCCGATGGTCGCGCTCGCGGCGCGCCGGCGCGGCGCAGTGGACGCAGCCCGGTTCGCAGCTTCGCGAGCTACGTGGGGGCGGCCACAGTACGGCCCGGTGGCCGCCCCCGCAATGAGGCCAAGCGAATAAAAATAAAAGCGGACACTCTTCACTCTACTAGGAGATGGGTAAAAAGGAACACGTGTAGAAATGGGTCTCATTACGTCCAGCTCTAGCAAAAGCGGGCGGCAGCTGGACGACAATGGCACCGACTGCCCTGGCCATGCGCTCGCGCACCCTTGTAGTGAGAAGGCACATTAGCAAGAGCACGTAGCAGTCGAATGCGACTGAGCATGCGAACGAGACGTGCAGGCTCGGCGCGGCCGGCAGGTCGGCAAAGGCGCGCAAAGAGAACTTGGCCAGGAGCGAGACGCACATGCCGCATCCCTCGATGGGCCGGTACAGCGCCCACAAGGAGGCGTCCTTACGCCAGCAAAACAGCAAGGCGATGAGAGTTATCCCGCATGGTTCTTGAAAGATGGAGGCGCACAGCGCCGCAACTATAGATCCGGAAGTGAGATCGAATCGTCCCTTCTGAACGCTCGTAACCGCAATGTGCCAAGTCATGGAGGCCAGCCCCAGAAGCATGGCGCATAGGCAGCGCCTACATGCACCGACTGAATGGCCATGCGGGAAGGCCGCCGCAGCGACACCAAGGCCTCCTGTCTGCGTTGCTATGAAACTGAGAGCGATCATGAACTCGCCGCTGGACTCGCGTGCGGTTAGCAGCTGGTCGAAAAAGAAGGCGGCACAGAGTACAATGACCGCCGCTGATGCAGAGAACGAGCGGCGCCGAAGCCAAATATCCTAAGCCAAATATCCTGAGGGAATATCCTAAGCCAAATATCCTGAGACAATTTCCTAAGCCAAATATCCTGAGACAATATCCTAAGCCAAATATCCTGAGACCATATCCTAAGCAAATATGCTGAGACCATATTCTAAGCCAAATATCCTAAGCCAAATATCCTGAGATAATTTCCTAAGCCAAATATCCTAAGCCAAATATCCTGAGACCATATCCTAAGCAGATATGGTCTGCTAAGCCAAATATCCTGAGACAATTTCCTAAGCCAAATATCCTGAGACAATTTCCTAAGCCAAATATCCTGAGACAATTTCCTAAGGCAAATATCCTGAGACAATTTCCTAAGCCAAATATCCTAAGACCATATCCTGAGACAATATCCTGAGCCAAATATCTAAGACAATATTCTGAGACAAATATCCTTAGCGATTGATCTTGGAGAGTCGCCTTAGAAAATATCCGAGAAATATCCTTAGAAAATATCCTTAGAAATATCCTTAGAAATTCTCCTTAGAAATCTCCTTAGAAAGTGTCCTTAGAGATTACCCTGAGGAATACCCCTTAGGGAATATCTAAGGGTTGTACTTAGGAGTCGATTTCCGCGTCGAAAAATGGCCGAAGGAGCACGTGGGCACTAGTTATGGACGAAAGTGCATTTTGTTCACAGCATGTAGATGTGAATGCGTTCCCATTACCATTTGCGGCAAGTCTCAAGCGATGGTGCCAGATTCCGACCTCATCTTCACGCCAGTGATGCGGTTGATCACGCGAGTCGATCGACACGTCTTCGCCGCTCTTTCACCGACGCCCACAGCGCCAGCCAGTGTCACGACGTGCCGCTGCCAAGAACGACACTGTGCTCTGAGGATTCGCCGCACATCGAAGGAATCAGAAGCGCGCCTTCGTGGATCTTTGTGTGTCGGGACAGGCGCTGAGGTTTGTGTCTCCTCTCGTCATCCTCCGCTGGCGTTTCGACACTGTGACAGCGGCAGCGCTGTGGCTTTGACGCTTCGGCTGCTTGCAATCGCAGCCACCGCACTCCCGTCGCTGCCTTCCTGTTGCCTGCAGTGGCACGCTGCGGAGTCTCCCCGGCTCGGCAGTACTGGTCGGCGTCTTGTCCTGTCGTCACCCTCGCGTCGCCGCCGTGGTCCGGCGCGGCGGTCATCCGGACAGAGTGTATCCCTCAGTGAGCCGACTCGCGACCCGCACTGCATGAGGGCAAGAAAAGCCGAGCCGTGCCACCGTCCTGCTCCCCCCTTTTGCATGTCTTTTTACGTGAGAGCATTCTGCTAAACAAGAGGAAACCAGAGTACTCTCCACTCTTCGCTACTACCTACCACTCCTTGACGGCCTGCTCAAGGAGAGGCTTGATCTCATCTGCCCACCTGGGTGCGAGCTCCTTCCAAGTTGATCGCGCGAACTCATAGCACTCCTGTGCGGTTCGCCCTCCATCCTCGAAACCGGCCGGGGCACCGTTGAACATCTTGGTCTGCTCGTTCCCCCCCCCCGCGGCACGTTTGTTGCCGGTCTGCTTTCCAGTCTGTTTGGACAGGTAGCGCTGCGTGTACGCTTGCTTCTCCGCCTTTGACATGATGACCATGTGCGTGTGTGAGTTGACCTCTGCCGCGGTGTTGAGTGGGCGCCGAAGCAGCCCGCATGACGCATTGTGACCCTGCAGCTGGTCCTGCATGCCATGGAGGTACGAACCCAACACAACTCCTTCCGGCGTGTCCTCCGTCTTCTTGACCGTTCGCGGATGCCACTGCTCGTCCTGATTGTGGAGCTCGAACTCAACCGCCGGAGACAAGGTGAATGTGACCTCTGGGGCGAGCTCCGTGCCGCACCTGTGGAGGTCTCCGTCGCGCCTCCTCAGTTGCAGCGCCATCGTCAAGACTCGGGGGTGGCCAACCGTCATTGTGCTGATGGGGGCAGCGTCCTGCGAGTTTCGCTGCCCTCCCACCACATCCTGGTGCAAGCCGAGTGTGGAGCCGCACTTGTCCCCGCCCTGCCTGCTCGGCGGGTGTGGTAGGTTGAGTCGGCAATAGACGCAGTACGACTTGCCCAGGTAGCACAGCACAATGCACGAGTTGAAGCGGTCGTCCTGCAGAATGTGCTCGATGCGGTCAGGGTATGGGAAGATCCGGAAGCGGTCTGGCTGGCGTCCAATGGAGAACTTGCCGCTGCACCACTCGTATGCCCACATCAACGCAAATGTGCAGTTGCACACGTCGCATTGCCACTCTCGCCCCACGCAGTACTTGCATCCTGTGCACCCCTTCCCGAGCGAGCCAGGGCAGTGCTCACCCCTGTCGCTGACGCCATCCCAGCAGCAGACGCAGGTGCGTGTCGGCAGCTGATCTGACGGCACATGCGCCAACGGTACCTTTGCCTCTGGTGCTGTGTAGCTGAGCTGCGCCAGAACCAGCTTAGTGTTGTGAAAGTGTTCCGGCTTTGGGAAGTTGTGTTGCGGCGCCGTGATGTCGAGATCAGCTGGGTTTGCCAACAGGCGGTCTCGCACGAGTCCCACCACATACTCACGGAGGGCCGTAAGGTTGTCCGCAGAGAGGGTGCTCGTCTTGACGTCCGACCGGCGTGGGACGGGTGCCTGTTGACACGCGTCGAAGACGCGTGCCTTGAACGGCGCCTTCCGAGATGGGCCGTCGACTGGGGGGCGTCTGCAGGACATGCCGTGTGTCGGTGCGGCCTGCAAGTCTGAGAGCATGAAGGCTGCACTTTCTGGTGGCCGCGTGAAGCTCAGGCGCAGCTTGAAGTCGGTGATGTTGTCGCCGGACCACTGAGCTGCCCGCCCCCCCCCCTCCTGTGCCCATCCCTCCGTCCCCTACAGCCCCGGCCCCGGAGCGCCCTCTGCCCTTGCCCGCTGCGCCGTATGTCTGTTTGCCCATCCCTCCGCCGATCCCCGTTCCTCGCAGATGTACAGCCTCGCCGTCACCGCCAACGGCGCTCTCTGGAGCTGGGGCGATGCATGCTTCGGCAGCTTGGGCCACAACGACCACCTGAACCACCTGCTGCCAAAGAAGATAGACGCGTTGGCTGGCCATCGCGTCGTCGCTGTGTCGGCTGGGCTACACCACAACCTCGCCCTTACTGCCGACGGCACCGTCTGGAGCTGCGGCGGTGGCTACTTCGGCCAGTTGGGCCACGGCGACGGTCAGTGCCATCCACAGCCCAAGAAGGTCGAAGCCTTGGCAGGGCAGCGCGTCGTCGCCGTTTCGGCGGGATCCGAACACAGCCTCACTGTCACCGCCAACGGCGCCGTCTTCACCTGGGGCGGCGGCATGTACGGCTGCCTCGGCCACGGGGATGGCATTGCGAACGCTCTGCTTCCCAAGAAGGTCGAGTCCTTGGAGCTGTGATCTGTGCAAGCGTGATCGGTTAATAACCGACACGTGTGTGCAACTCCTCTCACTAGCGCTTTTTCGAGACCTTGACGTTCAGACAACCGACACGGACACGTGTGTGCAACTCCTCTGACTAGTTCTTTTCACAGACCTTAGACAGCAGGGAAGAGTCGATGTGCAAAAAGAGAAGCCTTACTGCGGTCGCCACGCCCGCGCACTTGAGCCAGCTAGTCGTAAAATTGAAGCCAAGAATCGCCAAGCTTTCGCGCTACCTGAGGGGAAAGCCGCTGATCGAGCCCAGCGTGCCCGCGGCCGCCTCCCGCGCAGCTATGCCGCTGCGGAATCGGATCGATCCCATGGAGGAGGAGGGCGCAGTCGGCCAGCGCAGCAGGTGGAGTCCCTCCCCGCGCCGGAGCCCCCCTGCAGTCGAGGGAGAGTCCTCGTTGGCGATGAAGGTGGCGACATCGAATCGCGGCCGACAGACGTCACGTGGGAGGAATGGGCGATGAGCGGGAACGATGCGCGCTACGACGCCGACTCCGCCGTGCTCGTGGCCGCAGAAAGCCGCGCTCCAGGAGCACGCCAAGATGCAATGGCTCGCTTGCTTCGATTCAGCTCTCTCGGCAGCAGAAGTGGGGCTGGAGCGGGTGGGGGTGGATGCCGATTGAGGGGGAGCGTCTCCAGCTGCGCCCTGTGGCAGCTGCGCCCTGTGGCAGCTAGTCGAGGGACTTGGTAGTTGTGACCCCCCTGAGTGAGGACAGGAGAGAGAGAGCGTTTTGTGGTGTTGGTGTACGCAATAACGGGACAGGGTGGTTGTTCTCTCTATCTCCTCTTCTAGCTCTTAGCATGAGCTGCGCCCGGTGTCCGACCCCTTTTGCGCAGCAACACCTTAAACTTTTAGGCCCCGCCAAATTCGGGTCGGAGCGTAGCGGAGTGGGCCCCGAGTTTGAAAAGGGCGACGGACGCTTGCGTCCTAGCCTCCAACAACGCCTCCCCGGCGCAGAGGGGCCCCCGGAGGGATGCACAACCGACCCACGCCACGCCGCTTGCGGCGGTCCTCTTCTTCCCAGCTCCGCTGAGGTCACACGTTATTTGTGTGTATCGCGCGCCTTGCGGGGGGGGCGCGGAAAAGAGGAACCTCTTAGCGCCATCGCCACGGTGCTGCATGCAGCGCCGGGCGACGACGGCTTACCGCCTCCCGGTCCCCCTCGGCACACCTCCGCTGCTCAATGTTTGACGGCTCGAACCCGTGAAGCTTCCCCGTGCGCGGGTTACCCCGCACACGGGTCAGCCTGCCAGCCACGTATCCACGCAAGCGTGGTCCGCGTGCATGGCATACAGGCGTCCGCCAGACAGCGCAGAGGCTAGGCGACCGGGGAAGGACTATTTATTATTTGCGATCAGGCGGCGCTCTTGCCGCCGCTGCAGCCGACGCTCGCGATGGCCGATCCGCAGCTCCTGGCCGCGCTCGACCTCATGAGGCGAATGCCACCCTCGCGCTGCGAGACGTCGCTCGAGGGTGCGTCGGTCGAGAGCGGCCTGCGGGCTGCGGCTGCAAAGCGCTCACCACTGCCGCGCTGCCCCTGCCGCAGAGCTTGTCGACCTGGTGCCTCACCTGACGGACGACCTCCTCAACACCATCGACCAGCCGCTGCAGACCGCCAAGGACGCCCAGGGCAACGCCTACTTATTATGCGACTACAATCGCGACGGCGACTCGTACCGGTAAAGGCCCGCCCGCCGGCCGGGCGGCGAGATGCATGGGACGCTCGCACGCACTCAGGCCCGCGGAGAAGAGGTGTGCGGCGGCCCTTGCCATCCTCGGCGCGCACGCCCGTGTCCGCAGGTCCCCGTGGACAAACGAGTATGACCCTCCGCTCTCGGACGGCGTGCTGCCGTCGCCAAAGCTGCGCGCGATGGAGACGCTGGCGAACGACATCTTCGAGGGCTACCGCGAGATGTACTACGAGGGGGGCATCTCCTCGGTCTACTTTTGGGACCTCGACGAGTGCGCGCGCTGCTGCGGCTGCCCCCCCGCCTCCAGCCGAACTGAGTGCTAGGCCGCTAGACGGCTGGCCGCCGCAGGCCGGCCCAATGCCACCAACGGCCGGCAATTG